TCTATCTTTAAAAAATTAGGCCTCATAGTTTTGTCCTTCTGTTTTCTTCCAAAGACTTCATAGTTTTAGCTTTAGATCTTTGATCCATTTTTAGTTAGTTTTTGTGTATGATGTGAGCTGTGGGTCCTGTTTCATTTTTCTGTAAGTGGTTATCCAGTTTTGCCAGCACCATTTATTAAAGAGAGACTGTTTCTTCCTCATTGAATGGACTTTGGCCCCTTGTTGAAAATCAGTTTTCCATAAATGGATTTATTTCTGGGTCCTCCGTTCTGTTCCACTGGTTTATGTGTCTGTCATTGAACCAGTACCAGGCCGTTTTGATTACTGCACCTGTATAGTATGTTTTGAAATCAGGGAGCATGAGACATTCCACTTTGTTCTTCTTCAATATTGCTTTGGCTATTCAGGAACTCTTTTCTTTCCATGTAAAGTTGGTAGTTAGTTTTTCAGTTTTGGTAAAGAATGCTATTAGAATTTTGATTGGGATTGCATTGTATCTATAGATCACCTTAGGTAGTATTGACATTTTCACAGTATTAAGTCTTCCAATCCATGAACATGAGCACGGAAAGTCCTTCCATTTATGTAGGTCTCTTTTAGTCTCTTGCATTACTGTTGTATAGTTTTCATTGTATAAGTCTTTTATACCCTTAGTTAGGTTTATTCCTAGCTATTTTATCTTTTGGGGGGCTTAAATGATACTGCTTTCTTGATTTCCTATTTGGATTTCAACTGATTTTTGTGAGTTGATCTTGTACCATGCAACATTGCTGAATTCTACTATTAGATCCAGTGCTTTCTTGTGAAATTTGGGATTCTCTGTGTATAGGATCATGTCATCTGCAAATAGAGATAGTTTTACTTTTTCTTTTCCCATTTGGATACCCTTTATTTCTCTTTCTTGCTTTATTGCTCTGGCTAGGAATTCCAGTACAATATTGAATAGGAGTGGTGACAGTAGGCCTTCTTGCCTTGTTCCCGTTCTCAAGGAGAAGGCTCTTAGTCTTTCTTCAGTAAGTATAGTGTTGGCTGTTGGTTTTTGCATATATGCCCTTACTCATGTTGAGGGATTTTCCTTCTATTTCTATTTTGCTGAGAGTTTTTGTCAGGAATGGTGTTGGATTTTATCAAATGCCTTTTCTGCATCAATTGAGATGATCATGTGGTTCTTTTCCTTTGCTTTACCTATGTGCTGAATTAGGTTGATTGATTTTCTAATGTTGAACCACCCTTGCATTCCTAGTATGAATCCCACTTGGTCATGGTGTATAATATTAATATGTTGTTGAATTATGTTCAATAGAATTTTGTTGAGTATGTAGAATTTTTGCATCTATATTCATGAGGGATATTGGTCTGTAATTTTCTCTTTTTGTGATATCTTTTCTTGGCTTTGCTATCAGGGCAATGCTGGCTTCATAGAGTGAGTTAGGGAATATTCCTTCCTCGTCTATATTTTGGAAGAGTTTGAGTAGGATTGGTCCCAACTCTTCTCTAAATATTTGGTAAAATTCCCTAGTGAAGCCATCTGATCTTGAGTTTTTTGTTGTTGTTGTTTGGAGTTTTTGATGACATCTTTAATCTCTTTTTCTTTTTTTTTTTTAATTATGGGTCTGTTTAGATTTTCTACCTCTGTTGGTGTTAGTTTAGGTAGGTAGTGTGTTTGCAAGAATTTGTCCATTTCATCTAGGTTTTCAAATTTGTTGGAGTACAATTTTTCATAGTATTCTGTTAAGATCCTCTTCAGTTGAATCTGTTGTAATGTCTTCACTTTCATTTCTTATTTTGGTTATTTGCATCTTCTCATTTTTTTCCTTTGTCAGTCTGGCCAGTGGTTTGTCTATTTTGTTGATCCTTTCAAAGAACCAGTTCTGATCTTGTTGATTCTTTCTGTTGTTTTTCTGTTTTTGATTTCATTTATTTCTGCTCTTATCTTTATTATTTCCTTTTCTGGTAGCTTTGGGCTTCTTTCACTCTTCTTTTATCATTTGTTCAAGCTTTTGCATTAAGTTATTGATTTGAGATCTTTCTTTTTTAATGTAGGCATTTAGTGCAATAAATTACCCACTGAACACTACTTTCATTGCATCCCAAAGATTTTGGCATTTTGTGTTTCCATTTTCATTTGATTCTCACTATTTTTTAATTTTACTCATGGTTTCTTATGGGCTAATAGTTTTTAGTAATGTGTTATTTAGTTTCCGTGCATTTTTTTTCTTTATTCTTTCTCTTATAGTTTTCTAGTTTCGTCCTGCTATGGTCAGAGAAGATGCCTTTTATGATTTCAGTCTTCTTAAATTTATTGGGGTTTGTTCTGTGGCCTAAAATAATATGATCTGTTCTTGAGACTGATCCACGTTCATGAAGAAAAATGTGTATTGTGCTGCTATTGCATGGTATGTTGTATATACATCTGTTAGGTCCAGTTGGTTAATAGGGTTATTCAGGTCTTCTATGTCTTTATTGGTTTTCTTTCTAGTTGTTCTATCCATCATCGAAAGTGGTATATTCAAATATCCAACTATTATTGTAGATCTATTTCTTTCTTTAATGCTGTTAGAGCTTGCTTTATAAATTTTGGAATTCTGATGTTGGATGTATAAATATTTATTATTGCTATGTCTTCTTAGTGAATTGACCCTTTTATCATTATATAATGTCTTTCTTTGTTTCTTACAGTAGATTCTTAAAGTCTATTTGATGTGATTTTTTTTCACTGCTGGTTTAAAGTTCCACACAAACGTGCATATAATAGTTTAAGCTCAGATTCTTTCCAGCCACAGCAATGGTTGACCTTTCAGTTGGAGTTTGAATCAGTCCAGGTTATTATTCCCTTTCTTACCCCAATCACCATTTCAACGATATCGAAATACCTATTTTTGGCTAATGTACTTTTCATGTTTGGTATTAATCTGAAGTCCAATTTTTTTTTTTATATTTTATTGTACTTCATGTGAAGGCTTACAGAACAAAATAGTTTCTCATTTAACAGTTACTACAAATGTTGCCCTATGTATGACAATGGTTAACAATCTTACAACACATCAACAATATCCTTACTCAACCTTGGGTTCCCTATCACCAGCTTCCTTGTCCCCTTCTGCCTTCTGGCCCTTGTCACTGGATGAAGTCCAATTTTTTTTTGGAAAGGAAGATAAATTCTTTTTCTGACATCCTTTTTTTCCATTAAGTTAAAAAAAAAATCACCTCATAACTGATTTCAAATAGCTATATTGCAGTATTTGCACTGTATGGGAAGAAAGGGTTTGGCTTCAGCAGAGCCCTTACCAGATCCCCTCAGCAGCTGGGTTTCTAACTGGCAGGAAGCTCAAGTGGTAAGGTTGGTGAGTCACCTCTGGGTCATGCGCACATGTCACTCGAAACTAGGTCAGGGCCTCCAGCTGTGATGTTCTCTACACTCTTTCAGGAGAACATGAACAAATGGAGAATTGTAATGCCTTCTTCATACGGTTTGCAAAAATACTTTCTCTTTCCAACAAGTAAGGGGCTATTCTTTTTGCAGGTGACAAAGTGAACCCCACAGAAATGGGTGACATCTCCAGTGCAGTGTAACTGGAAGAGGGGTGTGGACCATGTGCTTCAACCTTTATCTGAATAGTGGACTTCCAGATGTGGGAGGGCTTGGACATGATCCAGGCCTGCCACCCATTTCACAGACAGACAAACCAAGACTAGCACAGAGAAGAGAACTCGAGAGTCAGCCAGTCAGAGGAGGGCAAGATGGACCCAGGTGTTCTCATGCTTCTCCCAGGGCTCCTTCCACCCCGCCCTTCCAGTGGGTGTGCGCTGCTGCCATCCTGTCCACAGTCTGTGGGCACTTCCCTAGAGAACAGGCACAGCCAGTGTAAGATGTGAGACATGCATGGATTTTGTATGTCCGCATGTGTATAATTATGTGATTTCCTTTATCCTTAATTCCTTTAATGGCTAGGAATGTTGTAAGTTTATTTTAAAAGACTTATAAAAATGAGTTCCATGTTCAAATGTTGGTTTCTACAGATTTTAGAGACCCTACGTTCGGTAGCCCTGGTGGCATAGTGGTTAAGCACTATGGCTGCTAATGGAAAGGTCGGTGGTTCCAACCCACCAGTTGTTCCACCAGCCACTTGGTGGGAGAAAGATGTGGTACTCTGCTTCCATAAAGATTTCAGCCGTGGATACCTATGGGGCAGTTCTACCCTGTCCTATAGGGTCGCTGTGAGTCAGAATCGACTTGACAGCAAAGGTTTTTTTTTATGTTTGGTGTGACCTGCAGGGACTTGAGTTTGGGTCTGGCCTGTCTTTATTGTTCATCAACAAGTCCCTTGGTGTGGGAAGCTCTTGGGTAGCAGAGAGCACAAACAGGATTCCCCAGGTTTTACATGTTTAAAATCAATGCTACCACCACTGGCGTTAAATCTGCTTTTCTCCGGTGTTAGATAAATACCAGAGAAGTCAGATATTTTGCCCAGACCTTCGCAATAAGCCAGTAGCAAACTGAAGATAAAATTTATGAGCTTATTTCTGTTGAGGCTGAGCCCCAAAGTCCTGCTAGTGTACAAGCTGCCACTGCTGAGTGTGCCCCAGCTTTGGGGGCAAGACACTGCCAGCGGTGTCTCCAAGCAAAAGAGTAAAGCCCCACAGCTGTGACTCTCGCTGGGCAGAGCAGGGAAAGACTTGTGGGTGAGTGCTGTTGGGCCCTTGTGTGACCCTGAGGCACACATGAGGTACTCCCACAGGAGAAGGGTCTTTTCCAGCCCCTGAGGCATACGTGTGGGCGCTCCAGGGCACTTAGTTAGAGAGGTGTCTTCCTCAGCCCCTGAGGCGTGCATGAGGTTCCACCCGGGTACCTTGTAGTAGGAAGATCCTCCCTGAGATGGCCCTTCCCTGAGCTTGGTTTCCTGGAGTCTCCAGGTGGACTGAATCCCACCATGGCACTCAACAGGAAAATGCACACAAAGCAACAAGCATGCAGTGACCACCTTATGTTTACATTCCAGAGTGCAAATTCACCTGCACCAGCGGAAAGTGCTTGTATCTTGGTTCACTGGTCTGCAACCAACGGAACGACTGTGGGGACAATAGTGATGAGGAAAACTGTCTCCTGGTGACTGAACATCCACCCCCCGGAATCTTCAGCTGTAAGTCCCTCCTGCCTATGGGGCTTCCACACTGGATCGTGTTTTTGAAATCGTTAAGAGTTCAGTTGTGCAGCAAATGGAAAGGGTGCTGTTTTCTGGTTAAGGAAAGGGATTTATGTTTCCATAAAGAAAATGTTTTCTTCTTTTAGGATGGAAAGATAGTGTGTCTCAAAGCAGAAAGCTATTCTCAGGGGTGGTTAGGGGCCATGTGTTTTGAATCGTCTTTTGTTATTGACCTGAGAAGCTCTGACAAGCTTCAAGACCTCACACACTGACTTTAATGTTCTCCAAACCAGCCCTCAGACCTTACTAAGAGTGGTCACTCAGAAAGTCATTTTAAATAAGCAAAGGAAGATCTGTGAAGGGCCCAGAATTAATTCTGTAATTGAAATAAGAAAGTAGAAAAAATTCTATGAGACTTTTTAAGAAGGTCCTGGCAATGTGTTTTTCCATTTGACACTGGATGGAGAACAACCTAACTGAGGTTTTACATGTGTGAATCCCCAACGGTGAGGTTTCAAGCATTTCCTGAACTTGAAAATGTGAAAACAGAGTTTGAAGTTCATTGATTTTTGATCTCATGGTTTTTGTGAAGAGGAAGGAGAAAGAAGGCAATTGTGAAACACTGCTGGACTTCTCTTAGGAAAAGTGGTTTATTTTCTGTGTTTCCTTGGATTAGGTGAAGCAGACGGAGGGCAAGCATCCTTTTTGCAGTAGCATGCCCTGGGAATAAAGTTTGCATCACTAACCCGTGTCATGGGATCTTCTTAGAGAGACTTGCGTGATACACTCAGCTTCTCTTCCCGGGGTAACTAACATTATATTGTGCAGTTATATTTATATAATTCTGATTTTTAAATTTTTTGTTATGGAAATTACACTACATAAATACCAAAGCTGCAAATATGAAAATGGGAGGGGATTATTTTAAAAGAAAGTATTTTCTTTATTCCTACTGTACTTTCCTGTTGAGGGGCAAGCTCAGAAAAGTACTGTGCTTGGCAAATTTTAAGTCTCCTATTCATGCTTGCTAAATTCAAGAGTACAGTAGTACAAATGGTTTCCTCATGGTTTTCTGTTATGTAAGTTCAGTTTCTTACACTGAGTGTTCTTAGAGTCCCACCACTATAATTTGAAAAGATAATTTCAGGTAAGTGTGTGTTTTCTTGGTATTCAGTCCATGTTTTCCCCTGGTCACTGTTTTGTCAGTAGCCTTTTGCAATTGTCAGTACTGTGTTTGCGTCATGCAGGAACCCGGATGCAGCAAGGGTCCCCACAGCTGACACTATCTCTCCTGGTTTCCTGCTGCGTACAAAGTAACTTAGAGAGTAGAGGGAGAGGATAGGAGGAGGAAACTTGCTGTTGTTGTTAGGTGCCATAAAGTTGGCTTTGATTCATAGTGACCTCATGTACAACAGGACAAAACACTGCCCAGTCCTGCACCATTTTTGCTATGTTTGAGCCCATTGTTGCAGCCACTGTGTCAATCCATTTCATTGAGGGACTCCCTCTTTTTCGCTGAACCTCTACCAAGCATGAAGTCTTTCTCCAGCAATTGGCCTCTCCTGACATATCCAAAGTAAGCAAGACAAAGTCTTGTCATTGTCATTTCTAAGGAGCATGCTGACTGTACTTCCTCCAAAACAGATTTGTTTGTTCTTTTGGCAATCCATAGTATATACAATATTCTTAGCCAACACCACAATTCAAAGCCATGAATTCTTCTTCTGGCTTCCTTTTTCCGTTGTCCAAGCTTTCACATGCATATGGGGCAAGTGAAAATGCCCTGGTTTAGGTCAGACATACCTTCATCATCAAGGTGACATGTTTGCTTTTTAACACCTTAAAGAGGTCTTTTGCAGCAGATTTGCCCAGTGCAATAGGTCATTTGATTTCTTGACTGCTGCTTCCACAGATGTTGACTGTTGATCCAAAAAGAATGAAATCCTTGACAGTTTCAACTTCTTGGCCATTTATCATGGTGTTGTTTATTGGTCCACTTGTAAGGTTTTCACTTTCTTTATATTTAGGTGTAATCCATCCTGAAGGCTGTGGTCTTTGATCTTCATCAGTAAGTGCTTCAAGTCATCTTCACTTTTGGCATGCAAGGTTATGTCATCTGCATATCTCAGGTTGTTAGTGAGTCTTCCTCCAATACTGATGCCACATTCTTCTTCATATAGTTCAGGTTCTCAGATTATTTGTTCAGCATATAGACTGAATGAGTAAGGTGAAAGAATATAACCTTGCCACACACCTTTTCCAATTTTAAACCATGCAGTATCCCCTTGTTCTGTTCAAACGACTGGCTCTTGATACATGTACAGGTTCTGCATGAGCACAATTAACTGTTCTGGAATTCCCATTCTTCATAATGTTATCCATAATTTGTTATGATCCATACAGTTGAATGCCTTTTTGTAGTTGATAGAACACAGGTACATATTTTTCTGGTATTCTCTGACATCAGACATCAGCAGTTATATCCTTGTTTCACATCTTCTTCTGAATCCAGTTTGAACTTCTGGTAGTTCCCTGTTGAAATACAGGCACAGTCATTTTTTAATTATCTTTAGCAAAATTTTTGCTAGCATACGATATTAATGATATTGTTTGATAATTTCTGCATTCTGTTTGATCATCTTTCTTTGGAATGGGCATGAATATGGATCTCTTCTAGTCAGTTGGCCAGGCAGCTGTCTTCCAAATTTCTTGACATAGACAACTGTTTCCAGCGTTGCATCTGTTTATTGAAGCATCTCAATGATACTTGATTCCATGAATTCCTGTAGCCTAATTTTTGCCAATTCCTTCAATGCAACTTATACTTCTTCCTTCAGTATCAGCGGTTCTTGAAATAGTTGAACATCAACCATGTATTTTTGGTACAGTGACTCTATGTATTCTTTCCATTTTCTTTTGATGCTTTCTGCGTCTTTCAATTTTTTGCCCATAGAATCCTTCAGTATTGCAACTTGAGGCGTGAATTTTCTCTTCAGTTCTTTCAGCTTGAGAAATGCTGAGAGTGTTCTTCCCTTTTGGTTTTCTAACTCCAGGTCTTTGCACATTTCATTATAATACTTCACTTTGTCTTCTTGAGCTGCCCTTTGAAATCTTCTGTTCAACTCTTTTACTTCATTATTTCTTCTGTTCGCTTTAGCTACTCTGTACTCAGAGCAGGTTTCAGAGTCTCTTCTGACACCCATTTTGGTCTTTTCTTTCTTTCCTCTGTTTTTAATGACCTGTTGCTTTCTTCATGTATGTTGTCATCCCACAGCTCTTCTAGTCTTCGGTCATTAGTGTTCAGTGATTCAAATCTGTTCTTGAGATGCTCTCTAAATTAAAGTGGGATGTATTCAGGGCTATACTTTGGCTCTCTTGGACTTGCTTTGATTTTCTTTGGCTTTAACTTGAACTTGCATATGAGTACTGTAATTGATGGTATGTTCTGCAGTCGGCCCCTGGCTTTATCTTGACTGATACATTGAGCTTCTCCATCATCTTTTTCCACAAATGTAGCCAATTTGATTCCTGTGTAAACCATCTGGTGTGGGCCACGTGTATAGTCATTGCTTTTGTTGCTGAAAAAATGTACTTCCAATGAATAAGTCATTGGTCTTTTAGAATTCTATCATGTAATCTCCAGCATCATTCCTATCACCAAGGCCATATTTTCCAGCTACTGATCCTTCTTTTTTGTTTCCAGCTTTTGCATTCCAATCACTGGTAATTATCAATACATCTTGATTGCATGTTTGATCAGTTTCACACTGAAATAGTTCATAAAAATCTTCAATTGTTGTGCAAATTTGTGTAATAGTCATGTTAATTGGTCTTCCTTATAGGCATATGGATATTATTCTATCACTGACGGCACTGTACTTCAGGATAGATCTTGAAATGTTCTTTTTGACGATGAGTATAGTGCCCTTCCTCTTCAATTTATTGTTGCCGGCATAGTAGACCATATGATTGTCAGGTTCAAAATGATCCATACCAGTTCATTTTAGCTCACTAATGCCTGGAATCTCGATCTTCAAGTGTTCCATTTCATTATTGATAACTTCCAATTTTTCTTGATTCATACTTTGTACGTTCCACGTTCTGATTATTAATGATGTTTTATCGACTGAGCGAAGTCATTCAACTGTGTGGATCATCACAGTATTTTAGATAACATTACGAAGAGTGCATGGACCAAGAGGCAATCATTTTAACAGAACAAGGGGATACTGCATGGTTTAAAATTGGAAAAGGTGTGTGGCAAGGTTGTATTCTTTCACCTTACTCATTCAGTCTATATGCTGAACAAATAATCTGAGAACCTGAACTATATGAAGAAGAATGTGGCATCAGTATTGGAGGAAGACTCATTAACAACCTGAGATATGCAGATGACATAACCTTGCATGCCAAAAGTGAAGATGACTTGAAGCACTTACTGATGAAGATCAAAGACCACAGCCTTCAGGATGGATTACACCTAAATATAAAGAAAGTGAAAACCTTACAAGTGGACCAATAAACAACACCATGATAAATGGCCAAGAAGTTGAAACTGTCAAGGATTTCATTCTTTTTGGATCAACAGTCAACATCTGTGGAAGCAGCAGTCAAGAAATCAAATGACCTATTGCACTGGGCAAATCTGCTGCAAAAGACCTCTTTAAGGTGTTAAAAAGCAAACATGTCACTTTAAGGATTGAGGCGCGCCTGACTCAAGCCATGGTACTTCCAGTCGCCTCATATGGGTGTTAAAGCTGGACAACGAATAAGGAAGACCGAAGAAGAATTGATGCCGTTGAATGGTGGTGTTGATGGAGAATAGTGAATATACCATGGACTACCAGAAGAACAAACAGATCTGTTTCGGAGGAAGTACAGCCACAATGATCCTTAGAAGTGAGGATGGCGAGATTATCTCAGGTACTTTGGATATGTTGTCAGGAAGGACCAATCGTTGGAGAAAAACATCATGCTTGGTAAAGTAGAGGGTCAGC